GGTCTGGTAGCATGGCGGACACTGACAGTAGGATATAAATCATAAATATATTTTAGATCTGTTTTGTACAGATGGAATGATTCACATTTTCTCGATTTCCTATTTGCAATATTTTATTTCCTATATTTATTGTCAGAAATAACAATTACATTTAAAGGACCTTTTTTCACAAATAGATATTCACCGCGAAAATAGCAAAAACAAAATCAGAAATACAAAAACAAGCCTTGTCTTGATTAAATATTTTGGTCCAGTTGACATGTCACGGAGTTCAACTCCTAATCTTCACATATTTTTAGGGAAATTCAAAAATTAAAATATGTAATAACATTGCTTAGTGTAAAAATAACAAGGTAGCTATACTGTATCAGGAAAACGGATAGTACTGACCTTGACCAGCGGAGCAGACATATGAAGACGACGATGACCCCTTGTGGTGGAACCGTCTAAAGTGCACGTGAAAATAAGATGATTAGAGACTGGCCACCTAAAGTGAGGTCATTGTTTTCTCTTGTTTGTGGTATTGAGAAGTCTGCAAGCGTCAGAAAATTATACGTATTCAATAACCACCAGTTCACAATGACATTTTATTAAGCGACGAAATGGAAAAAAAAATCATAAAAGAATAAAACAAACAGGTTGATGGCTTGTATTGCGGAAGGTTTATATGATTGAAAATATGAAGATCCAAAACAAAACTGGTTTTCTTTTCTCATTTGCTAGAGAATATCCTATCCTTATGACAGCTCTTATAGTCGTTCAGCTGACAACGTTTCTGATTACATCGTAGTTTTTTATGTGGCTACTACCATGTGATATGTGAATGCAAAGAGTTTGATGTCGTAGAATGATTCCTATCTACTTTACACCGGCGACCAATGCTGATCACGAGATTTAGTTGTTTATTGTAAAGTCTTCCTCCAAATAAATGGAGAACGAATGGATAAAGTTGATGCCAACTCTCACAGTTATGATTTTCCGGCGGTTGTAATGTAACTTACTCTTTTTATTAAAGTAACTTTTTAAAAGATTTCGCAGAAAAATTGTTGTCTAAAACGGACAAACGCTAATACACATATCTTCGTGTCAAGAGAAATAATACTTCTTTTATGAAAATTCGGAGAACGCTGTGGAAGATGTCATTCATACTATAAATCGGTTCTGGTGACACATTTATTATATGATATTCGGTAGAAATAATAACAATTTTACAGTAAGGTGTAGCTGTGTACGACCCGCCTTCTAGCTGATCAGTTTTTGTTTACATTCAGTTATATTAATGATGTATAAAACGTATTTCTAGAATTACCCAATCATCTTCTAGAAAGTGCATTTAAAGATTCAACAGGCACTTGTTATTAACGCTTACCTAGGAACCTCATTCCCAAATACTATGGTTTTAGATTTTAATTTGATGATCGTTTACTTTCCTTTTCTCAGAGGCAACCTATCAGCCTACCCTGTTTAAAGAGTACAGAAATGCAACATTTGATTCGTTATTACAGAAAATGTTCAATTTAGCAGGATTTTACGAATTGGTGTAGGTTGTTGACCAATACATTATATAGATAACTTACATTGTAGAAAAATGTGATTTTAAAAATAAATTCATTATCACATTTCGTGTCATACATGTTATTGAAACATAGTTGTCAAGGAAACAACAAGAGAGCACCGAAGTGTCCACAAAACCACAATGCGAACTCAAAACGGTAAACTACGGCAAAATATGAGCAAAGGAAAAATTTGCAATGAGAACCTTGAAAAAGTACAAGAAGAATAAGACCAAGTGTTCCAAAAGAGTAAGCGTCCTCTGCTTCATCAACACCTCCCGCTATGCCAATGTAGGTCACATCTTAATAATGTCACGTCCTCATATCGAAAACTCGGGTAGTGATATAAAATCCACAAGGTACTCTAATGAGCATAATGAACAATAGCTTACTTCCATATGAGAACAGGCTAGCGACCATAGAACTCGACCAGTCTTTATCAACCCGCATCTTGTGGAATCAAGGTAAGATGTTCTGATGAATGTGTAAATATTCCTGATGTTGGGTCTAATCATCTGTCATTTGGCAATTTTAGCAATCAGTATTTTAATATGCTCATCCGATTTAGTATTTGCGTTAATATATTGAGTAGTTTGTTTCCTGAAATATTATAGCATTTGTCTAGCTAGGGCGATCGAAGCGCAGTAGTTTATTTCCTTAAATATTATAGCATTTGTCTAACTAAAGCGATCGAAGCGCAGTAGTTTATTTCCTGAAATATTAAAGCATTTGTCTAGCTAAGGCGATCGAAGCGCAGTAGTTTATTTCCTGAAATATTATAGCATTTGTCTAGCTAAGGCGATCGAAGCGTAGTCAACGAAATATGTTAATAACGTACGTAATTCAATGATGAAAGATAATTGGAAAATATATTTGTGCTTCATTAATACCTTCTAGGTAGAGAAAGAGTATAAGAGGGGAGACAACTCTCATATGTTTTTTTTTCATAAACGTTATTACATGATATTGTTTTTTTACTTCCACGTTATGTCATTTTATCTTGCTGTTTCTAAATGGAATGACTGAACATGAATTGCCCCTTGAAATGGTGCAATACGACATTGGCATAAACCGGAAGTATATTAGACATATTATGATATCAAAGTTTTACTTTCTACACAAACAATGTACGTATTAAACGTGTCGCAACGTTTCAAGACCTACTGGTCCCTTTGTCAAGCTATGACTGAGAGAGCGATTTGTAATATTTACCTGTACAACGATGTGACGAAATTGTATATTTTCCATGTCGCTCGACCCGAGACGTTTCACCTATCGATAGGGAGCGTAATGCAAATCGCTCACTCAGTCATGGCTTGACAAAGAGACCAGTCGGTCTTTAAACGTTGCGACACGTTTAATACGTACATTGTTTGTGTAGAACTTTGATATCACATAATTCCAAACAAATGAATCTTATTGAGTGGATTAGACAAAGATTAATGTTGTCTTTTGAATGGCAAAATAATGTCGCTCAGTCAAACAATCGGAAGAAGTACGGTAAACTTGGTACACATTTTAATGAACAAGTTTTGCAACATAAACTGTATTTTCCTGGTGTTATATTTCAAATTTTATAGAGTTTGTTACAGAAATACAAGCAATTTTTTTTTAACTAAGTAGCTGTCATATTTGACTGTTGTCGCAGCATACTTAAACATCCTTACTTATCACATTAAATGATTGTTTTCTAATTGTGCAGCCCTGCCGAACAACTAGTCTTATAAATGACATATTTTGACACTTCTCTCTCACCTATGGAACGATCGAACTGCACTGAAATTGAGACTAAGTATTTGGTAATGTGAAATGCAACAAAATAGGATATCAAAATACGTCATTTACTAAAAACTTGTTGTTCAAGTAAGCCTACCTTGTATCTGTGTAAGAGTCCGTTCAACATCCGTTTTCTAGAATTTTGTAAAATACAGCGTTATTGTATGTTATTTATTGAACAGTAGATAAATGGCAATAGTATGGATTTTGACCAATAGTGGCATTGCATATCCTGATTCCTTTATTACAGGCATCGTCTTATTGAAGGGGCGAGGTAACATGCAAGGCTAGACAACTCGTATAATCAAGCACGGTATAGTATTGTCGTATATCATACTTGTTCTGAAATAACTTCGCTCTAGGAAGGGAAAAAGGGATAAAATCATTTTATATTATAATAAATATAAAATAAAAATTATAAACTTATTTAAATAACACTTGTTGGACAGATTGGAATATTAACCGACGTTTGCAAAGGTAATCGTTCTGTTATTACAGGAAAACATAATCTTTAAACCAATTGTTGGAAGGGAGACAACTCGTGTGTTTACAATATTGAATACAAAATTAATGTTTCAGACACAATTACAAATTAAAGCTGTATGATAACATACTGAAGTACGCAAGAATTGTTCAGAAATTGTATCACACAGATCAATTTACACATTATAAAAATAGAACAATAATAATCATAAAATAATGCCAGATAACGTTGCTTTGTTATTTACAAGTTTCAGATTCAGATTGTTTCCCTCGATGTCCTATTTGATGTTAGGGTAATAGGCAAAGCATGATTAGTGGATTATTAATTGTTAAATCATTTGCTTACATAGCATTCCTTTGAATCATTCCTTAGTGTTATATTGGAACACTATGGTAAATACGCAACAGGCTAGCCATCAGCCTACCTTTACTGTAATAAACAGTCTATGCAAACGTGATACATTTATCTACTTAAATTTGAGATTTTTTGAAGTTATTTGATGACTATTTTGAAATTCCTTTTTTATAAATAAAATTATTGCATTACTGCAAATTAAGAGTGGCTCGATTTCTTGATGAAGTATCATGACAGAATGAAGGAACGAACAGTCAGTCGACTGGAGTTACTACATAATACGTGCACAGCTGGTCATCAAGCCATGCATAAAGACGTGTACATATATTGACCAACCGTATGACGAACGAGGAGTATTTATCTGGTTTTGTGTGGACCATAGTCTCGACAAAGCCAAGTATGGTGACAGCTTGTTCTCTACAGAGGCACATGAAGGGGGAAAGTAAAGTATACCTTCAAAGATATGAATGTTCATTTTCATGGTAGTACAACTCCTGTTTAAAAATCAATACTGATAGAGATATTATCTTTATCTAAAGATGAGTTGTTTTTTCTGTCTATAAATATCTTTTTATTCAGTTTCCTTTATTAATTAGAAATGCATACGTTTAATAATATCGTTTATCCCTGCACATTTATGTTACTAGGGCGTGATTTTATTGAATGATAATAAACCATATCAAATTAGTACTTCTCCGTCACAGATTGGAATATCGTTCACCTCTTACGAATCAATATTTTATTATCCTTATGTTAGATGGTACGTTGATATTTTACACGTGTATAATACTAAATAGTGTAGCTGGTATTGATTATGACGTGTCTATGTTTTCTGCCTGTGGATGTTATGTTCTGTCTAGTTTTCTGAGAAAAAAACAACCCAAGAGGACCCCTTTTTGCCAGTGTTTACTCAACAACGCAAACATGGAAAAAGGAAGATGCTATTTAACTTGCAGACAGAACTATGCTTTTCTTTTAGAGGTAAGTTGTTTTATGTTTTAGAGTGACACATAATATTTAAGGTATATCTGCTTATTTATAAGAACATTTATAATGTATCGGTACATGTGATTTGGAATTAGGTGAGTTTCAGTGATACTGTTTACGTGCTGTAATGATAACTGTAAATTATATTGTGTTTCTTTTTTTCAAAATCCGGACTTCAATTTCGGGTTTTTTATATTTGAAGACGACATAAGGTCTTAAAATATTAAGAGAACGCCATAAAATCGTTTTAAAGTCGAATGAATGTATTGATAAACGGAAATAGGAAATACATCCCTAGTTGAAGATCCAATGTCGGGGGACAGTATCACAATTTTCGCGTAATCTGATGAATATTGTATGTTTATTATTGACATTATTTTGCAAAAAAAAATGTGTCTTTTTCAAAATTCACACCTTTTTACATAAATATTTTCATTTAAAATCCTTAAAATTCTGACAACCTATACTTTTTTTGTGGCAGAACATTTTCTGTACTTCAAAGCAATATAACTACAAAATTTGAAGAAGTTCGACTGAGAAATGGTGACACAAACCTATTACCTTAAACAATATCAGATTTACAGGAGAAGGGTTATGCTTGTTTTCTTTTTAAATAAAACAACACATATTCTTTTTGGTTAAATTAATAAAAACATTTCATAGAAAAGAATATTTAATTTTTAATTTATGGACATTAATGCCAATATTTTGTTTTCAAATACGAAAATTTATGAAAATTATCCCTTAAATAAGGACTTTACAGTATTCTATTTTGATTGTGTTTTCCTTGTGTATGCTTGTTACCTCAAATATCTATAAACGATATGTAAATGTTTGGACAACAATGTATATTTCTATACCATAAGCGGCCGTTAAATTATTCAATCACAATAATAAAGGGATTAGATACAGCAGGTACAAAGCCAACATCTTGTTTTTATTGATTTTGGACTGTTGATCAATGTTTGTTTGATGTAGAAAGATAATATCGCTCCAAAAAAGTGAAGAAATTAACAGAATTAGTCATATTGGAAATATCTTTACGGTCAACACCATACAACAGGAGATCACATGTACTAGTGTGAATGTCGACACATTTCACTCCTTTGTGTTCTGGTAAAGTGATTGTTCCTAAATAAGTATATTCATCTGTTATCCAGGATGTGGGACGAAGAGGATGAAGAAATGGAGTTAGATTCACCTAAGACCCCTTTGTTCAAATTCATCAGAAGTAAGATGACGTATTCCGGTGGTGACGTCAGTTCTACCAAAAGAGGTGATATCCGGATAAAAAATCGGGATGAATCAAAAGTTTTACGTTTGGGAGATCGAATAAACCTTCGTAAAGAATACATACAACGCAGACGCTGGATTGTTGATTTAGAATTTGTCTTTGCAATGGCTGGTATAATTCTGATGATGATTGAAACGGAACTGTACATAACACACAACATTTCCAAGACAAGTGTAATATCACTCGGTGTTAAGTGTATTATATCGGTTACTACGATGGCCCTCCTTGTAACCATCTGTTTCAACTATTACACTGTGATACAGATCAAAGTACTGGATATGGGAGTAAGAGATTGGCGATCCGTAATTACAGCTTGGATGGTTTTTAGTTTGCTTCTGGAGCTTATTGTGTGTACGCCACATCCGTTTCCGGGTGATTACGATATCGTGTATACATCCCCGGCTGGTAGCCAGCGAATGGTCAGCATCGATGCGGTGTTGTCCATTCTAATGATGACCCGGTTGTATTTGGTTGGAAAGTTTGCAGTGGTGCACAGTCGACTGTTGACAGACACGTCTACAAGTAGTATAGGAACACTCAGTAAAGTTAAAATCAACGCAAAATTCGTCTTCAGGGCGGCTATGACAAATAAACCAGGGTTGTTGATATTCTTTGTCATGGTGATTTCGTTCCTTGTAAATACGTGGGCAATGAGAACTTGCGAGATTTACTATGAACCAGCGAACAAAAAGAATACTTACTTAGAGACGATGTGGCTGGTGGCCATTACCTTCCTGACAGTAGGGTATGGAGATGCCACTCCCAGTAGTTACTGCGGGAGGTACATCTCCATCATCACAGGTAGTATGGGAGTGGTCACAACAGCACTTCTCGTCGCCATGTTGGCGCGAAATCTCGAACAATCCCGACAGGAAAAGTACGTATTCAATTTCGTATCGAGGATGCAAATTGAGAACAGAAAGAAAAGTGCCGCTGCCAATGCCATCAAAAATGTTTTGAAAATATGGACTCTGCAGAAGAATGGAGGTCAAAGTAAAGAGATAAGGAAATACACAGACCGTTTAAAACATGCTCTTAAAGAAATAAAAGTGGCCCGAGAGGAAATGGATCACATTGGAGATGGAATGTTAGGGATGGTTGACGTGGCACACACGGTAGACCGGATCAGTACCGTGGTCGACAGGAACTTTCACGGACTGAATAAACTAGAGATGAGAATTAACTCCCTTGATATGCGACTCTCTAATATAGAAGACAAACTGAATGAAATAAGAACACTTGTATCCGCAAAGTTAAGGTAAAATAATCAAGTTGATATTTCACAGAGGGTATTTATACAAGGCAATGGTATACCTAATGTAGCAACAGGTAGATACTAAACCTAGCTTACTCAACTACATGTACAAACGGAAATCAATTCCCTCATTGTATTAAGTTTAAACTATGCAACATATACTGGGTAAGGTTAAGCTGTCATTAATAATGTTCGAAAAACAACGTTTAAATGTCATTACGAATTATTTGTTTCATTGCATCAATGCATTTTTCATATCCTAAATGAATTCAATATGGTTTTGTAACAGACATGACTCATGCATCAGGTGATTATTAGTAAGACTTAGATCTTTGCCATGCCTAATTAGTAGGGTTTAACATTATTGAATCGGTTTATCCCCCTCCTTCAGTATAAATTCCTTTATTGACATCGTTTCGCTGTGTTTATAAAATGCTAACGCCATATCTTTTATTTATGCGTTTGTTTAAATTGAACGTTCACTTATGCTTGGTTTATACAAATGTCGATGGTATACTAATTGAAATAAATTTATTCTATATAAAATATGATAAAATATGCATAAATAATTCATACTTTTTAAAACAAAACGTTTTTCTGAATCATTGTATGAATTGTATTAGAGTTATCTATATGCGAAACATTTATTACGCATCACCAATTTATTCATAACAACCTGTAGCGTTACAAATACTTGTTTTCTTCTGTATTTTGACCCTTCTCAAGTATATCTCAGTGTTGACCTCCATTAGTAAAGAAAGGACGACTGGCGTAGTTAAGTTTTGTGTATGTTTTGATGACCCTGTAGGCAGACGAAACTATACCAATGTGGCTTAGCGCATTTGTATTTGCTTTAATGCCTGTAACAATATGGTGGAATTACTTGAAACTGTAGCAGGGATACGTTGTGAAGCATGGATTATCCGTAATTGGCAGATTCACACACATCGAATTTTGCTTTTATAAATGTTATCACATGGCTTGTGAATTGTCATATAGTGTTGCGATCAGTTTTCAGGTCATGTAATATGAAGTTCTGTATATATCACTATGTCGGAACAAGGTGTTGTTTTACTCTAGAAGTCTCAAAACTCATTTTTAGCTGGAAGCCATTGGTTGCTATGCTTGGCAATTATCAACGAACACGAACAACTTAATTTGTGAATATGTTAATGTCATTTTACACTATAGAAGCACGACGTCATTATTTTTTCTCGACGTCAATTTTATTTGTGTCAAGATGTTGGAAAGCAAGTAAAATACCTTTAAAACCTCTTTACTTGTGGTACATGTGCTTTGTACAAACTATCATCTAGGGATTGAATGGAGTTAATTTTCACATTTATGCCGGTATGACACAAATAAGTTGCGTCTATTTGGTTAATGAATAATAAAATATGGACATAACAGATTTGCATACATATGGGTATGAATGTTTAAAAAAACAAAATCGTATATTTACAATAAAAAACTACAGTTATCAATTGTTTAAATACAAATGTTTCTTAATATTTACCATATTAAAGCTTCTCAGTGATAAGTTAAAATAACATTCCTGGAATAGCTCAATGACATCTAGATGTTTGCTTCTTATGATGTACGAATAGTCCATGTTGTACGAAGCGAGATTATAAGCATCAAGTAACACTAACCTATCTGCGTTCATAGTCCTCTGAATTTAATTGTTTTTTCGTAGAGTTAATATAAGAGTTTGCAGCGCGGAAATGTAAGTGTTTATGTAAAGAAGGTCTTTAGTACACGCAAAACCACACACCTGTCTTTATCTGGCAGGACAGATAACATACTTTTTTTGGTGTGGCCAAATATTGAAATTAATTTGTGTAAATATGAAAGTTTTTTATGCAGTTAACGTTATAATAACATTGAATTGAATTGTGTTAAACATTAATAAATGTGTTATATTACTAGTAGTATGTGTTTTTTTAAATTTATCAACATTTGATGATTTGAACGTTAAAGCAGTTTGACATTATCTTATTACTTACCTCGTTAATGGCGGTATTTATAAAATTGCATCAAATTGTTTAAATCATATATAACTCCAATTAAAACTCTAATATGTCTGATAATAGCAAACCTGGCCTTTCCAGAGCACATGGGATGACCTGGGGATGGAAACAGTCTTAAGCATAATCCTAAATTTCGTCTATGGACAAACTAGAATGTTTGCATTAAGATCTCTTCAGATTTTATGCTCGGATACATATTTACATTATCTGCCCTTAAGTGACAAACGTACGATCACATTAAGGTATGACACTTAACGAATATAACAGCTATCTTTTGACTTAAGAACATATCATTTTTATAATGCAAAAGCCTGATTTCGCTCCCTGTCCATTTTGGAGGTTCATGATGTTTCCCATTTATGTGCTGACTCTTTGATTTAGTTTCTATTTTTGTCTTTCCTATCGACACTGAGGTAGGATTTTATTGTGATTTGATTTTTCGTGATATTGCGATTAGATAGAAAAATACTGTTCTACCGAATGTATTTTACCCGAAATATTTCGGCTTACTAAAACTTGAATTGTCCGGAAAATTAATTAGAAATGATGAAATGTTAGTACTTTCTCGTGTATCGTTTACCATATTTAAAACAATGTAATATACAATAATTCATTGTGTATGTAGCTTTTATTGGTATTTTATGAAGTATATCAGTTCCGAACTACCAAACTCATATTAACACAAATAAAACCCGTCCCCGTCTATTCTGTATGGCTATTAATTTAGAACGTTGATGATAAAATCAATACGCACGTGCTATTTTTTTATCAGTGATAATGACAACAATGTTTAGAACACATTCTCACCACACTATCCTAATCAACTCCACGTCAGCCCTTACACATATCCATTTCCCTGTCTTATTTCATTAAGCATCGAGGTTAAAGCAGCACCCATTACCTTTACACATCTACCGTAGAAACAAAGTTCTATATATCATGTTAGTTTATTTATTTGATAAAAGGAATACTGTACACTCGATTAACATACCAATTATACTACTAACAACAATACAAGTGCATGCTTCATGGGGATACTAAAATTGAATGTTATTCACCCTCTGGAACACGGTCTTTTAAAATCTACAAACTGTATGATGTAATGCACATAAGCGAACAGTTTTATTTAAGCATTCTATTAAGGATAAAAGCGTATTCGTGTAACCTTTACGCCATAGATGGCACTATATTATAAAACAGCATGTACTGTTGAGTGTGTGCAAGCGTTAAGAACATTCAGATAAAAAAATAAATCAAAAATGCTTAAAACTGAACGTTGTCTAGTGTTGGAATCTGCTTTAGTGATTAATTGTATTCTTGGTAACATCGCGTCACACACGTCACACGGTTCAGTTCATGAATCAGTTAAGAGATGCTGGCTTTTACACTCAGATAGTATTGTTTAATGGGTTATCCTATCTTGTTTACTAACGACATTTCCGCACGTGTTCGTTGTTGAAGATGCTATCTTTGATCTTGATTCATATGGAGGGATTCACAAAGTGGGAATCAATGTAACAAATACACGTGATGTCACAAGTTAAATATAGGATTCGTTGTCAACAATGGTGTTATCGTGTCACATCTCCAACTCTTACGGATGATTGATTTGAGATTAATCATGCACATTAAATACTTTGTTGCGAATTTTTTTTAATAAAAACTGCGTTAACAAATCATATTATTCAGTACATTAGAATTTCAATTATCAAGACACCTTTCATATGTCACCTAAATCCGTGGTTATATAGTTGGACAACCGGATTATTGTTGTCTGGTTCATCTGAACACCAGCGTGTTTTTTGGTTTAAACATTCGTATATTTTTTACACTTTCATTGACTTGTTTGAAAATGCTCAATGGTTAACAGCATCAGTTTGAATGTATTCCCATAAAGAAAAACAATTATAATCAATAGAAATATTTAACTCTGCCAGCGAAAAGGAATCACGCCTGCGTACTCCGACAACGAAATGGAAGTTAGAAATATCCCAGTCGAATATATGAGTTATCCCCCTTGTATCGTAAAAGGAAAAGTGTGAACCAGCAATGTGTTGACTCACGTTCTACACTGCTAAAGGTACACCATGAAAACATTCTATTTAAGTGCTTCAAGCAGATAAAAATGTTAAGATATTGATTAATATTACATGAAAATACAATATAGTCAACATATGATATTCAAACATCTGGTGTACAATCTATCTATATTTTGATATAGCAGTATATATTGGCATATATTGTGTTTCGTTACATTATGTATAACATGTACTTATATACATAATTATTTACACAATGACCTACATAAAGTAGTGCGTAATAAATATGTATAGCAAAAGATACAATATATTTCTTAAACAACCTACAATTATTCTTGTGCAATAATTTTGATTTGTTTGGCACAGCAATCCCACGTATGCTTCTCTTTCATGTAAGTCCGCTCGATCATATGGTTTTCTGTTTCATAAACATGTTCTTTCGTATGAAGTCTAGAGTTCGCATGATATGCATAGTTAATTAAAATAATGCCAACTTTGACAGATTTCTGCTATGCTATGTGATAAGCATGATGATTTTGAATTTCCTATCGTAACATTTACCCTTCTTCATAGTAAAATCCCTGCTTTCCTCACCTACGCTATTTACAGGCAGCAGGTGATGCGGTACTTAACGGTTAAAACATAATAGTCGATAGCTCCGAAAGGTTTGATATCCTGATGATAGTGTATCAGAACAAGGCAAGGTATTGCAAGACAATTAACATTCCCTTAAAGGCGATGTTTTCTTTATTTACTGAGCTGTACACCTATCTCAGGATATCATTCACAGTGACATACTTCTTGTACTCTGTACTCAATCAGCAAAGACATGCATGCACGCCAAATCTGGTAGTCTCATGTGAAATCGTATAGAATGTATGCGCAAGGCAAGTTTTTAAAAAAGGGATAAGGTGAAAGGTGAAGGTCAAGCAAAGGTCACAGTGCCCTACTTTTTGTACTTGACATTTTACCATCCCAGGATGTCTTACATACTAAATCTAGTTACTCAAAGTGATATAGTTAAGTAGATATCCAAGATAAAATATGTCAAAGGTTGAAGTGGTCTCTTTGTGTCTCGTTTAAGATTATCAGTATCTTTCATTCCCCGGGGTGTTGGATAGGGAAATTCCAACCGAGGGGTTTACAAATTTGGTAAAACCCTCCGCAAAGCCTCAGGTTTTGCCAAATTTGAATATCCCGAGAATGGAATTTCCCTATCCTACACCATGTGGCATGAAATAGTATTTTTCTCTCATTCCAACTACGTGAATATGCTCAATAACCATAAAAATGCGTCTGGACTGCTTCCAGTTTGAAAATATCAATTTTCTCCCTGATATTTTTTTACGAAAACGAATCGGCAGCGATATTTAGCATACCCCATATTTGCAAACAGAGTTTGTGCAGAAAAGAATCTCTTTTTTCTAACAAATACGGTAAATATATCCTAAAAGGTATTTATTATAAAAATATTTTATCATGTCCCCTTTCCCGCATTGCGGCATTGGCGTGTTCCAAATTCCTGACGCCACGTCACGTAAAATGGAGTGTAAAATTGAAATTCCCACATCACTTTCTTACGCTGGACAGATCTATCTTCAACACACGGAAATGAGAGAAAATGATTTATTTGTCAATCACTAAGCTGTGAAAAAAATATACACGCGCTTGTGACGTCACTATGAAAACTGAAAAGTGTCACTTTTTTATTAAAAAAAATCAAAATGCCGTGAAAGATAAATGATTGTTGAATGTAGCCTGATTGAATCCTTCATGCCATATTAAACCAAAACAGGGACCTAATTAGTACAGATCCATATAATGACATAGTTGTGAGTTGTCTCAGGTGGCGTTCGCAATGTAGATAGATCGACTGTCACAAAATCTAGAAGACGTGCTGCTTCAGAATCATAGTTGGTACGTTGCTTAGAAAATTAGTCGATATGGCGTCAACATTGGCTTTGGAAAATTAGCTTAATACAAGGCTCGCTTTTCTTCATTTTAATGACTTACTTCGATATTTGACAACAAAAAAGAACATCTTCCAACAGATAGGGAAATTTAAATGCTTATACTGAATACTGGTATATGTTTAACAGTTAGTCATTTTGAGGAAGAATCGCCTATAAGATAATTTACTAATTTTCGTGGGCTTTACATACTACAGCTCAGAAGTAATTCATGAATTGAAGGTGTAGTTGATCTCTTTAATAATTTGGTAAGTTCAGCTGAGCTATACAATAAAATTAAAATTAAGTTAAACTTTAAAAACAAAACAAAATAAAAAAATTACTAGGTCATGCAAGCGATCAAATACTCGACCAACACTTACATTTGTATTAGCAATATCGTTTCTTCCTTCTATGAATGCATTTGCTTTCATGAAAATGCACCATTGTAAATAAATTATATACAGCGTTACAGTAACGACAACACAATGGCAATATTGTCTCTCACAAACATGTTACAAGCTTGTTCCGACCAGTGTTATAGAAAGCCAGAAACAAAGGTTCCAATGAGTCTGCGTCGACTGCAAATGTACGCGATAACAAGTTTTAATTGTAACGTGGACCCTTACAGATGCCCTCCTAATGTCCATAAATCTGCATTGTCATGATATCGTTACATACAAAGTTCAAGCAATATCAGAGAAAAGAGAAGGACCAATGACATCAAATTGCCTTACACCTATAAATGTATCAATCAAATATAGACCAAGGCGACCATGTTTGATGGCATAGTGGAAAATGAAAACGTTACGCGCATCTCAATGCTCATATGAAGTGTCGTAAACATCCGGCCAGTAGTGTCGAACTATAAAAAGAAGGAGAAGAAGAATAGTGGTACGGGATTCAGCAACATATTAATATGTCCCCAACTTCGTTTAGGGGACGTAATTAGGAAAGAATAATGGAACATGAAATAGTAATGCACCGATGAAAACATTATAATATGAAACCATAATGATGCAATAAATAGTCCAACAGTTGGTCATTACCATTGTATGTAATTGTCCTCAGTTCATCTCGCACCATTAAATAGTACCCCTAATTCGATTTCCTGGATTATACAAAATTTAATAAATACGTATTACTTCACCAACATCCATAATGTGCCTCGCTCCACAATTGACAACCGCCACTTTTGACCAGGCTTCACAACAATGTATAAAAAGGGATATTGCTTACATTATCGACTACAAACGAGGAACAGATTTCAGGAAATCGAATAAATGATTAAGGCCAATGTCGTTAGTGAGTGGCGACACATGCTGTAGATGTTTACGAGGACATTTCGAGGCAATATAACCACGGTTTACACATCCTTCCCTTTCTATATTTACATCTCATTTGAATTTTTTCTCCTGCATCTGAATACAATTTACATTATTTTCAAACCTGTTTAGCATCGCTGTCAGAGTAAGTGGTTTGTAAAGTGCTGTGTTTTATCAAGTTAAAGAAACAGTTGTCCAACCGGCGAAATGCCAAAAGACCTTGTACGGCAGTGCCATTAATCTTTCTGGAGTGAATATGTGGTATTTTATTTAAATAATATCTAGAGAAAAGGCCAAAGTTATCGGGTACAAAACCTGCAAAAAATAACAGAGTGATAAGCAATCGTTCTGTAGTTGTTGTTGTTGTTGTTGTTGTCGTCGTTGTTGTTGTTGATGTCGTTGTTGTTGTTGTTGTTGTTGTTGATATGGCATATTCAAAGGGTGCAAAAAAGATAATTAAGTGTATCTAAAACGTAGCCCTGGTATTTCGATGATTTTGTGTACTATGTTATTCTCATAGATGAAAATGACGCGCATTCGTCTCTCACAGGTTTACTTGTACGTGAACTTATATATCTCGATACCCGCGCACATACGTCCTTGAACTATAGGTGTGACGTACATGTTAGATTGTTTTCTGAATAGATGTGGACAGTAGGCCGCCAAACAAATTGTCAGTTATTCAATCATGTTTACCTAGCTCCTTTGTATCAGTCCGGAGTAGTTTCAATTAATCAAGTCTTCATTATATATATATAAACCTGAAGAGCCCTGTGAAGGGTGAAAGCAGCTAGTTTTTTAGTCGGTCGTTAATTTTATTTTTTCTATATATATAGGTAAATGTCTATAATGTAACAAACAAGGGGAAGTACCTTGACAACAATATATCTTTATTTAGTCTACCTTAGCTGGAGTAGCGTTCGATCATTAATGATTTCTCCTGAATCACAAAGCTTTTGAGATTAATTTGTAAAAGCTTGAACGATGAAAATGTCCTTTATTCTGTCGCATGGTAAAGTAAACTTTATTGAGCTAATTCAATCCATTCACGTCATGTTATTGATAAAACCGTGTCGTCTGACACTAGGGAAATCCTTCAGATCTTGTCCATACCTGGCATTGATTGCATACGCTGGTTTCTTTCTTTCAAAACGCCATTGAATTGTCCTTTGTTACAATGTGCTGATGTATGCATCCCATTTAAGGCAACAGATCTAGAGGTCCATACTTACTCAGCTTCATGAGAAACTGCAAATCTAAATATTTTCGCACGTGAATGACATATTAGTATTATTCATAAATAAATGTAAGGTTATACACAAACAAATTGTTTAAAGCAAAAGCTTACTTATAAGTCTTACTAAGCAATTGTTTTGAATTTAAATATTTCCTAATCGTAACATTTTCTCATAGACTGTCAATTCAGAATTGATCTAATTTGAATCTATTGATAAGGTAACTATGGATGTCAAAACGTACTCTAATAATATTGGACAGGGCAGAACCAATCACATAGAATATTCGGGGAATGTACATGTATATATACATAAGGGTTATTCCAACCTGTGCTTATCATGAAACGATCTAACAGTTAACACCATAGGCACATATTTTGTTTAATGTACGTTTTGTGTAAACTTAATTTTCCAATAACAACATAATTCGAATACATTTCTTTATTATTATTTATTTGGCGGATCACTAGTTGTCGGTACAGCCTAACACTGACCAGCAGCCTATATACTACTCTCTAACACGCTTTGCACTGTCCAACATCATTCAGGACAGGACTATAAATGGATTCAACACACCTTCTCACACTTTTATGACAAATACAATGTAAACTTCGCAGTCTGGGGACTTTTCACAACCGTCTTCATTTCGCGTTTTTGAATTTCCGTAAATCACTGCTGGCGTGCAATTTTTTTGTTAAATATGTCCGTAATTCGAGATTGAAAAAAATGCATTTTCAATACAGATAGTAATTATGTCTAGACAAGATATTACCGATATGTTTAAATACACGAAAACTGATCTCTGTCGATCATAAAGTGATTTATAGGACCGTCAAATTCGTAAAAGTTACACCACAGCAAAATCAACTTCTGTATACAATGATTTGCAAGCAATGTATCATATTTGAACCAAAGCAACAGTATGGATGTGTATATCTTGCATCTACATTAATAAATATACATAAATTATTCAGAATGTATATTCAAGTACGCACACGTATATAATTAAACAATCTATGAATATCACTAAGTTAACTGCAATATCATACTTTGAACAGCTTAACAACAACTTAACATTAACTTTTATCGTTCAAAAATAATTTTAAGCTAAAATTAGTATGATTCACAATAATTGTTTGAAAAAAAAAAATGAAAAAAAACCCAAACAAACAAAAAGCTACGAAGATGTCCAAATGTTTCTTTCTTGTTTTTCTCTCACTCTGAATTCACATTTAGCAAATGTACAATACCTTCTCGTGACTTTCTAATCAATGTTTGACCACCTTGACCATTGTGTATATAAGTCTTTCTAATTCCGAGAAAAGTAACGCGTTCCGTACACTCTTAATGAATGAAAAATCTACCTTCACAAACTGACAATAGTTGATCAAAAATATGCTCGAATATATAGGCATTTCATAACAAAACAGGAAGCATCTGTTTTGGAATTTGATATCTTTCAGACAATATAACGTATTTTTTTTAAAGTTTTTCAATTGTTCCGATACTAATTTCATCTAAAATCATTTATAGTTGAAAGTTTAAGCTATACTATATAAAACGTGAAATCGTTCCACACACCTACATAGGGGTTCTCTTTTATGCAAAGCAATCTTTGACAACATACTACAACACATAACCTTGGGACATTTGTGACAATACCGTATCTTCAACATACAAAAATCTAAAATAACCTTTCATGTCATGAAGTACATGTATTACTCATGCACGAGTTATTTACCGAAACTTTTCAACTTCCCATGGTTACTGCATGATCTAAACTAGGTCATGATAGAGTCAGAAATACGAGTTTCCTCTATATAATCACAAAGTGATGTATGGGGCCCTACTGGTACATCTGAGTGAGTTCGAAATCAAATTTCATGTTATATGAATGCCCTATACAAAATATCACATGAGGAGACTACTAATTCAAAAGAGATATCCAGTGTGATACTGGATATCTCTTTTTCAAATTCAAATTGATTGTTGAGATAAGGATTTGTGACATGCTAATATTTACATATTCCATATTTTACAAATCGATTCAATTGTTCCTTGTTGTGAAATTTCGTTACATGATATTATTCCTAATGATTCATACCGACTTCAATACTGTACGATATTGATATACTGTTTACTGGTATCGGTCTATTGTTGACTTATATCGATAAAGTGTTAACTGGTATTTATCTGATATGTACTGGTATCGATCTATTGTTTATTGTTATCGATTTGTTACTTACTGGTATCGATATATTGTTTACGTGTATCGGTCTATTGTTACGTCTATCGGTCTATTGTTTACGTGTATCGGTCTATTGTTTACGTCTATCGGTCTATTGTTTACGTGTATCGGTCTACTGTTTATTAGTTTTGATATGATATGTTCTGGTATCGATATATTGTTTATTGATATTATTATATTGTAAACGGTTATTATCTTATTGATTACTGTTAATGATCTGTTATTTACTGATAATGATATAATGTTTACTGGTATCGATTTGTTGCTAACTGCTATTGGTCCGTTGTTTACTTATGCCGATCTGTTGTTTGTTTATACAAATCTACTGTTTTGGTATCGATCTGTTGATAATTTCTATCGATCCGTTGTTTACTGGTGCCGATCTGTTGGTTGCTGATATCAAGCTATTGTTTTGGCATCGATCTATTTATAACTTCTACCAATCTGTTGTTTGCTGATACCGTTCTGTTGTTTACTGCTTTCGATCTGTTGTTTCTTGATATCGATTTTTTGTTAACTGCTATCGATCCGTTTTTATTGGTTTCGATCTCTTGTTTACTGGTATTGATTTGTCGTTTACTTGTATTTAATGATGAGAGTTATCAAACTGAGAGACACATCTTAAACTAATTTCTTCCAACACTCAGAACCTTGAAAAAGGTTTATCATAATTAAAGGATCATTAGACATTTGATAGTTAATTTATGACACATATAAAATGTGCACAAGAACAATAATCAATGCACTGATACCTTTTAACCTGTTATAACAATTTGTAGATAGAGTTTATCTTGAAACATGATGGAATTCATTTCTGCATCAATCTCAAGTACTTAGCGTCAGAGAGCACGTAGCTGTGCTATCATTATGATACCTAGCGAAACCTCCTAATGTCATTACTTTTATACATGACATAAAAACATATTCCTTATAGGGCATAACATAAAAAAATCAATTACTTTTCACAAATTATGACAATTAAAATACCAAACAATTATCAGAGAGTATAGGCATATATAGAAAGAGTATCAGACTGTGCTCGTGTATCCAAATTAATCTTTTTTTTGTTCTCGTATAAGCATGTTTTTCATGGCAACAAATTAACACAGTTGCATGAAATATCAAAGATTGCAATATAAAACCGTAATCATTTCACTCTTCTTGAATTACTAAAGCGTACACAATTCAATACGAGCTAATATGCTGTCGGGAAGTGTAAAGTTCTATCCCTTGTGGCGCAGTTCCAGTCAATTGTATTTTCAGATATCAACACGTCAAAATACCACAGTCTGTTTAATATATCAACACCATGACCTCACAGACGATAATTGTTAGGTCAATATGAAACTCTCTAGAGCCTGGTTAGTTGTTGTCTAAAGTTGCAAGACTCATGATCGTGATTGGTTAAAACATCAGTTGCGTATTACAAAATATCTCAGATCCATTTATAAAGTTAACAAAGCGGTATCGATGCCCCTGTTGACTGTTTCGTATTCCAACACTAATTGTATTGAACATTTTCTAAATAAAACAATTCTAAAACCAACAAAACAGATTAAGCTATTGTACAGACCAATTAATCAAATTCCCTATCTGATCATGTAATTCTTCACATCCATAGTATTACATGATCAAACTTATCTATTCTTAAGTCATTGGCATTTAACAAGCGTAAACAGGGAAGCATGACAATGTCGTTTACAATGTTAACTTATAATTGATTACTGAAGAGGAAACGTTTAGTATTAACAATATTTTCCTTCAGTTATTCAATATTTTGCAAGGATGAAGTCAAGCTATGTTTTCAGAATCATTGAATTTGTGACACTAAAATTCATCTTAAATTAGAATCTACTTAGACAATAGCTTTTGATACAATTTAATTGTGTATGAGAAACTTTAATTCAGTTTTCAAAACACTCCATACCTAAATGGACGATGCAAGAAGCTACCCACGTCATGTTTTAGGTGATACTAAATGACGAATATTTATCGCATATTGAAAATTCTTTCCTAATATATCTATGTTTGCGATGGTTCTTCAAACTATATCTTTACAAATATTTCAATTTGCAAAATCTACACTGACTGTTCTAGTGCAAAATACTATCCGCACTACAAGTGCCAATCCAAATCCAGCAAATTACTGAGTAGTCGGTCTCCTACGATCTTAAGCTGTGGAATATGTCTTGTATATTGTTTCCTTGCAATGCATTAACTATCGATATTTACAGCATACAACTGTATTTTCCTGCCTAAGATACGCTTAGAAAATACCATCCTGATTGGTGGTACGCTTACCAAACAGCTGATGCTTTTTCATGTGGTATAGGACGAGTTTAACACATTGAAGTTAATTCATTATGAATCGCGAGTTAAACGAGAATAGTTATGCCATGAAATGTAAGCGATTTAGTCAGCGCGATGACAATGAATGGCAAACGAGATGAATGATTACACCAAATATACCTAAACAAATCCCTGCAGAAATAAACGAAACAAATGAATATAAAATAAAATATATGCTATCACATAAACGCTTGTCAAATAAACATTATATAAAACAAACATTCTGTTGCTGTCTTACCTCAGAAATGTTGATATAATTGATTGTTGAAATAAGGATATTATCACAGCTGGCCCTTCTCATCTATAACTTAGTGTATTCCACTGCCATATGTGGTAAGTAAGTTAGTCAATACATACATGTTTTGGTGTAGACAAACTGCTGTTGAGAATACCAACATACTGTACCAAAAGACATGTCTAATGTTCCATTTTTACCGATACAATCCATTTAATACAGCGTTAAGTGTGTAGGCTGTACAACAACTCTGAACAGGAAGATGTGTAATAATAATAGTCGTCAAAATATATAAGCCCATATCGCGTAGGTCGAAAAGGGGCAATAACCCTTTCACAAATATTTCCCGATGTACAGTATTTTTTTGTGATATTTGTAATAAAATATTTAGTATTTTTCGAAACTACGAATTGTTTCTTTCAAGATTAATAACAGTGACAGAAAGAAACTACTAAATAAAAAGTATTTCGGAAAAAACTACGTATTCTATTCTGCTTGTTGAATGGAATGTATGAATGTGGTTATTTACATCTTTGCGCTATATAAGTAATAGAAACAAGTTACCATGCCATGCAATTGTCGAAATAGCCACTTTCAACGAATGTACTATTCCCTATTATCAATATACTAATTAACAAAGCTAGCTTTTTCTTAAACCGATGAAACATGATTACAAAGTAACACCTGTTCACTGTAAGTATGATATTGTCACAACCGGAAACAACATCCTTTCTGTTCATTATCTGACATTTTAAAACAAAATCGCAAATATGATGTGATTTTCTCATGTAAACTTCACAGCTGCTTTATGATATAACAATCTAAAAAGCCGATTTCATATGAAAAAATAAACACCTATGACATAATAAAACAATGACGTCTCATAGATAATGTCGCAATCAAAACGCCTTGTCATACGATTAGTATCCAAGTAGATAACAGCTTGTAAAACAAATTAAATAATTTATGTGTAAAATATGCAAATGAATTTGGTCAACATCTCAAATCAAATGAGGTCACATGTACATTTTTGATACCTAAGAGTCTATGTAAATTGAATAAGGTTACATGTAGACATCTAGGCTTCTATTAAATTAAGTAGCATCCGTCGAATACCCGCTTATAGTGATTCCTTTAAACATCACTCGTATTTTTCCTTGGCAACCATCACCAAAAGCATCCTAAGATCACTCATACCTCCACAAAGAATTAAGCAAACAGTTATCTATGCGTAATAGCGTGATAGACGGCATCCATTTTGTTGGCAAGGTCATCCATCTTAGATTCCATTTCGTTTATTTTTGCCTTCATGCCTTTCTGATTTTCCTGTATCCCCTCCACCGTTTCGAAAACTTCATCAACCGATTTGGCCACCTCGATAAATCCTATAGCGCTTTCACCTATGCAGGCTTTTTCATTTTTCGCATCACGCATATTTGCAATAGCCTGCAGTAACTTTCCATGTAATCGTATCCGCTTCCGGCTGTCGTCGGCATCCTGTCGACGAAGTCGCCACAGTTGTATGACGTACTTGATTGTATCGGCTGCTGCATGCTTCCTTTGCTTGTCCAGCTGAGCACGTGAGACAAAATTATGGACGTATTTTTCAGCACGACTCTGCTCGAGTTTTGAAGCCAGGACGGCAACAAGGAGAGCCGTAGTACCGACCCCCATCAATCCTGTTGTCACGGCAACAAATCTCCCACAATACGAATTGGGGTATATATCACCATATCCTACTGTTAGAAACGTTATAGCTATCATCCACATGGCATTGAAAAAACTGGAATGAGCCTCATCAGGGTGATAGTATACTTCACACGTGCGCATGGCCCAAGTATCTACTATCAAAATTGCAAGCATTATACTAACCAAGACTGTCCCAGGATTGGATGACATAAGTGCTTTAAAAACAAACGCGGTGTTGATTTTGACTTTGTTTAAAGCACCAAGACTTTGCGTAGCTGTGTCTGTCAGCAAACGACTGTTAACAACCATGAACTTGCCGACTAGATACAGGCGGAGCAGCATGAGAATAGAAAGAATCGGATCTATTGACACCATTTTGGTTTTCCCGTCCGGGTTTAAGCCTGGAATTGTAATGCTACTTGGAAACGGATGTATAGCGCAGATTAGAAGTTCGCAGCCGATTTTAAGATACGTCCAAGGAAAGGTGACAGCAAGGCGCCAATCTTCTAGACTGTTGTCTGTCATGTGGAGCTGAATTCCAGTCACATGGTACGCAATGACAGCCATTAACAAAAATACTGTTGAAATTGAAATGCAAGACTTTAAAACCAATGAAATCGCGTCCTCTTTAGTAATAACGTGTTGAAAGAAGAGTTCAGTTTCCACCAACATGAAGACGATACCAATCAGAGCAAGAATGAATTCCAGGGACACGACATGTCGCCGTCGTTTTATCAGATTCTTACGGCGGCTTAATCTGTAACTGATGTTGTCGAATTTGGATGCTGGCGTTAAAGTGGAGACCAGATCGGTCTGGCTCGTGTTGTCGTCCGCCATGTATTTGTTGTACTTCCCGTTTCGTCGATCAACAAGTGGTATTCCAGGATCCTCCACAAGAGAGCTCCCTGTCATTTTACTCTGCAAAGACAAAATCAAACGTGTCCGTTAATTGACGTGCTTTCCCTGATATTCAGTCAACAGTTTTGTACAGTTTTATAGTATATGTCCTGGAGTGTTTCTCATTTTATACGCTCTGTTGTAATAAAAGCAAATAATAAATGTCCAATATAGCCATAATTTTTTACTTTTACTCAATGCTGTTGCCATGTTTGTATATACAGTTCTGGTTTATTTCGAGTGTTTTTTCCCGGACTTACGTCTGACCTTTTATGAGTTCTACAAATCATTTGCATATGAGAAAAGCACGCACCGATGTGATGTTTATTGCTTCGTCAATTCAAGATTTTATTCCACTTATATATCAGCTATTGTTTTAATTCAAAAAGTAATATATACATACTGTCCAATCGTATGAAATGGTACAATTTTAATAGACCATTCACATAATGAAATATACAGCCACACGGAGGAAAAACGTGCGCGATGAATGAAAAAGGCATCAAAATGTACAAACATGGTAGAATTGAATGTTGATCAATAAATAGACAATAGTTTTTGCACATCCGATTTCTATTTATAAATACAAAACATGTGGAAAGGATAGTCTGTTTTAAGATCGCCATTTTCAGCAGCTACAATAGTTAGACAGAAAAACACGTGTCAATTGGATTCTCTCACTAAAAAGGACATTGTAAATGTTGTGTAAGTACCATTTTAAAAATAATTTCAGTATTGAATCTGCTTGTACAGCGCGCAACGTCTCAAGAAATTCGATTGATCTAAAATGACAACCTGTGCAAAAAGAGAGACAACAAAAAAATATGTTAAGAGTCTTGGTCAAAAATAGAATAAGGTAAGCACACTAGCCATTTACAGGACATGCTTTTCATGATACCACGAACTTTTTTGAAGCACTGCTCAACAGTCCATCAATCAAGTTTTAAAGAACTGACCATTCATATTCAAAATAACGGGATTTACATCATACACTTGTAAACAATATAATTGTGCTAATCTTACCCGCCATACTATTCCTTCACTTAAGCATCCTCGATACTCCATGGGTTGCACTCACTTATATTATCTGCACCCCTCTAATATGAATTTTCCATAGCAAAACATAAAGGCACGCTGCTAGCTAATTGACTGATCTCGTGTAGAAAAAAACTGACCAATCGCTAGGCTGATACCTGTTTGCAGAGGAGCGACACCCGACTTCAAAGCCAGTCAATTTTAATGTTAAGCTTCCGCAAGCTTCTTTTGTGTACATCAGAGGATCAAACTAGTCTACTTGTCTCATCCACAAGGTAACACACACGGAGCCATGATGTATTCTAGGAGTCCGGAGAGCGTAAATGATGCCCCTTTAGCAAAATACGCCAAACAAAACAATCAAAAACGATACATTATAAGAGAAAATTCATTACAATTGCAACCTTACAATTGATCTTACCTCTTAAATATTACGTCTCAATAACTCTGCTTTGAACGAATACACCAACAACTGTGCAATAGGTACTATAATCAAGGACTATAATTGCTACACACAAAACGTGATATGACCTTGTGCTTAGGTGGCGTGTTTACATATTTACATGCATAGACATATGATACAATACCAATGGGATCGATTAAATTTCAATGTATACAGTTAACAGATAATACCGCCTACGCAATACAACATGTGTTCAATGATATCCATTCTGTATACCGAGAAATTACTTAATTTGCCTTTTACATCCTCCGTTGTGAAGGCGGCTTCATCAGGAAAGCTAATGTTAGTACAAAGCCCTTTTACATCTTCTTTTGTTTTCATAAATGAGCTCCGTTACATTACTTTAACTTTGAATCATTGAGATACCTTTTTTGTGATATAGAGATGTTCCTAATGATGTAAAATGTCGATAAAACCATAAACAAAAACATTACCATGATTACATTTTCATCCAAAATTTAAATAGATGAAAAGACTTAGTTTAATAATAAAATACAGGTTGATATAGCATTAATACAACCGCCCTACTTTTTTACACATTGAAACAGTCTAGAGTAAGTTATACAATAAATGCAATAATATGCGCAATAATAAAAAAACGAATAACAATTTAATGAAATTAAGAAGAACTATTTTTAAGAACAAAAAAGGAATTAAACACTTTTCTCCAATCGATGTAGTTGTTTTTTTTATAACGGCACGATGCTTATCACTTAATTCGATAATCACGTTCTAAACCGACTCCAATTTTCCTAATGGTAGAGCGTATCACCTCCTAAGTGAACTGTGCAAAGTCCATTGCGAACTACCATAAATCTTACTAAATATAAATGACAAAAAATGAGCTGTTAACTTTGAAGAGCTTTTTAATCATATGAATACAGAATAACAAATATTTATGAAACAAGTATTATAAGAGAATCATTTACCAATTTTTGAAAGCTAACTAGGCTTTATGTAAACTTATGTTTTAATATTCATCTAGTATAAATATACGACCAGTCGTTCAAAGCTCTATCCGCTTAATTGTAATAAAGCAAAATTCGGTGTTCATTTGTAACATAAACCTGCATGTATTGCAGTTAGAAACTAAACTACGGTGGAGATAACACCTTTTTCAAACTGTTGATGATGGGGATGACGAGATCAAACAAGGGACCGTTTTCACTACGTCGTATAGCCGTTTCGTACATTTAGGACTCTGTATAGGTACTTAAGTTAAAAGAATGAAAATCCCTACATGAAATGTTCCGAACCCTATATAGAAATACAAGGTAAGGGAAAGATGGATAACAAACAATTAATAACATTACAAATGTTCAACTTTGGACGAATAAGATAATAAATACTTGTAGATCATGCCAGGAGAAGTACTGCCACAAGCTTTCAGCCAACCTCGGGGAGTAATAGTCAGCTACAAGGTTACGGCCAACCTCGGGGACTGATAGTCAGCTATAAGGTTACGGCCAACCTCGGGGCTAATAGTCCAGCTACAAGGTTACGGCCAACCTCGGGGACTAATAGTCAGCTACAAGGTTACGGCCAACCTCCGGGACTGATAGTCAGCTACAAGGTTACGGCCAACCTCGGGGACTAATAGTCCAGCTACAAGGTTACGGCCAACCTCGGGGACTGATAGTCCAGCTATAAGATTACGGCCAACCTCGGATACTTATAGTCAGCTACAAGGTTACGGCCAACTTCGGGGACTTATAGTCAGCTACACGGTTACGGCCAACCTCGGGGACTGATAGTCAGCTACAAGGTTACGACAACCTCGGGGACTGATAGTCAGCTACAAGGTTACGGTCAACCTCGGGAGTAACAGTCCAGCTATAAGGTTACGGCCAACATCGGGGACTAATAGTCCAGGTACAAGGTTACGGCCAACCTCGGGGACTGATAGTCAGCTACAAGGTTACGGCCAACATCGGGGACTGATAGTCAGCTACAAGGTTACGGCAACATCGGGGACTAATAGTCCAGCTACAAGATTACGGTCAACCTCGGGGATTGATAGTCAGCTACAAGGTTACGGCAACCTCTGGGACTAATAGTCAGCTACAAGGTTACGGCCAACCTCGGGGACTAATAGTCCAGCTACACGGTTTTATGAACCAACCTCGGGTACTGATAGTCCGTCGGCAGAGTCAGTCTTCTTATGAAAAGTTATCAATGGAAATTTGAAGAAACCAGGCGAGAAACATCTTTATGTAAATAATTTGTGTTACCGACAAAATGTTAATTATTACATACTGAGATAAAATGACCAAGTTGATTAAGAAAGACCATGTGTTGTTTTTAACGACAGATATCGGTCATCAATCAATAACGTCTAATAGTCAGGTCCACTATCCATTATACCGCTTTGTTGTAGGATACATATATAATCTCCGTCCATTGTGTTCAAACTCCAGCCAGACACATCTGTGCTTGAGTATTGCACATTCAGATTAAAGACAAAATCGATTTTTTCTACATTTTTTATTTTTTTTGAATACAGATTACTTAGTGACTAGGTAGCATGATACAGCGTGAGCGTTCTTTTTTCATTTAAGTCTTAAGTATTCTTCACATTCTATCAAAAATGCTATTTATAAACTTTATGTACGTCAAACGTAGATAATAGATATCGACGTTTTTAGCCAACACCATCTGGAGCGATAAGAAATTGGACAAAATGTTTGCATTGTATTTCAATTGATGCTAGCATTTTTAAAAGTGTTCTGAATGCATTTGGCGGTTTCCTATTGAACACTCAAAAACACCAACAGATGTTCATAATACGACACTACACGTTCATTAGGGGAAAAGACCTAAAACGCGGTATGATAAAAGTACTATTTACACTGCAAAATATATATACGAACAACTGAATTCCGCAAATCCCACAGTATAGAGAACATATTTTAATCTAAAGAAATCAAGCTGATTCACTGTATATATCATTGTTGTTAATCATTTTGTTAATTATCTGGTCTTGTTCTCCTGGAACTTCTATTATGAATTACTTTATTTACAAATTAAAAAAACAGTGCAGTAGAACATGCATCATTAAGCTCAATTTGTTCAAACCCTAACGGATACACTTTGGAAATGTGACCTTGATTAAATAACATATATAACTACTGTTAATCAAACACAAGAAATGCTAACTTGCACAAAGGAAATGTATGTTTAACCTCCTGTAACAAAACATCATTGTTCGTGTATATTGCTTGATGCAAAAATTACAAGGGTATGAAATCGAACATGATTAATTAATATTGGTGAGCTGTTTGAATGTACGGTTGGTTTACCAATGACAATATCGCATTCCAGGTGTATAAATAGTTTAACATGTAAAGAATTGAAAATTAAGAATTAAAAGGAAGGTTTTAGTTTGTTCGAACAACGCGTTTTGAATCAATTATAAAGTGTCTAGGAGTTCTATCTTATACACCTATCGGGTTGATATGGCTGTTGGTGGAATCGACAGGTAGTTGTTATTTGGTGACAATTACGCTCAAAAATATTCCAACAA